AGCACAAGATGTTGAAATTTTTTGTAAAACATACAAAGGATTGTCAGTTGAAGAGTCCAGAAAAGCGATCTGACAAGATTTCCATCACACCGGTCAGAAGGCCAGGATTACCTTTCGAAACAGTTAACATTCGACGTTATTGGACCTATTGAAACCTCCCTCTGCTAGGAAACATAAATATGTGTTATGTCTGATAGATCAACATTCCCGATGGCCAGAAGCCATTCCACTGAGAGTTTGACAGCAAAAACCACTTGTGACGCGCTTTTGGAGATTTTCATGAGAACAGGAATTCCTATACAATAGCTAGTGACAACGGAAGTAAACTTTGCTTCAAAATTAACTAAGAATTCCAGAAAAGACTAGGTTTCTCACCCTAGGTTCTCTACACCTGCTTACAGTGCTTCAAATGGATTAGTAGAAAGATGGAACAAGTCCTTCAAGCAAATGTTACATCATGTCATCAGGACTGATCCTTCGAATTGGGGATAAGCACATCCCATACCTGCTCTTTGCATACAGAGAAGTACCAAACTGCAACCACGAGTGTCTCACAACCATTTCAGCTGATGTATGGAAGACAACCAAGAGGTCCTTTAGCAGTACTGAAGTCTTCATGGTCAGGAAAATACCTATACCACCTAATCTAAGTGAATCGGCAGTGGATTACTTACAACTTTTAAAAATAAGGTTAAAACAAGCAGCCGAACAAGCCAATTAATTGCAAGTGATAACAACAAAAATATGCTGACTACTTTAATATCGGAGATCAATACCAAAATTTCAAAATCGGAGAACAAGTTTGTTTACTCTACCAGATTCAAATAACAACTCTATGCACGATGGACTGGTCCAGGAGAAATCGTGAATCATTGCCCACCTCATTCCTATAAAGTAAAACTACCTGATGGAAAGATCACATGTTCATGCAATAAAATTAGAAAATTCCAAGCTAGTGTCAATGCAGTTGGAGTGATATTTGAAAATGAAGAAGAATTTGGAGAAATTATAACTTTGCCAGAAAGATCTCTGCCCCCCCCTGAAGATTTAAAATAGATCAAATGAATTTAGAAAATTGAATCCGCAGCAGAGAAGAAAATTGATAGCTCTTATCGACAAACCACCGAGCGCTATTCACCGAAATCTGAAAATAGCTAAGTTGAAGCTCATAAATTAGATTAATACCCAATGGAGGAGGAAGAAACCTTACATTTATAGGATTCCTGAGCATGAAACCCAAGGTCGATGAAGAAGTAGAAAATTATTGAATCGGACTAATAGAAGAAAGTAATGCAGAAATAGCTCATCCAGAGTTTGTGTAAGCAAAAAAAAAAATGGAGATATCATTGTGCTTAGATTATCGAGCTTTGAATGCAGTGACGAAGCCAGATGACTTTCCCTATGCAAAATGCCCTTGATTTAATGTACGTATAGGAAGAGCCAACGTCATAACAACTTTGGATTTGCTGAAAGGATATCGGCAATTCCCTGAGGAACAAAGTAAAGAGTACACATCCTTCAAAACTCATCGCGGGTCAATATCAGTTTAAAGTGCTACCCTTTTGGATTAAGGAACGCAGCATCAACTTTCAGAAGTAATGAATACGCGCTGAAAGAATTTCAACAACAATTTTCAAGAGCCTATATTGATGACATAGCTATATTTTCCACTGATTTCGACACTCATCTCTAACATCTGGATAAAGTTTCCGCCAAACTAGAGTCACTTGGATTTACTATCAAATTCGAAGAAATGTTCTTTTGCGAAACCTCAAATTAAATATTTAGGACACATTCATTGGATCAGGGAAAACATCAACCAGATCCCGAGAAAATAGAGGCAATTCAAGAAAGCTGGAAACGCCGAAAACGAAAAGAGAGATCTTAAAAGTCTGTTAGGATTATGTAATTATTATCGCGATTATATCCCAGGGTATGCAGATAATCGCCTACGCACCCACTCACAGAACTCACGAAAAATAAACAACCGGAAATACTCGAATGGAAAGAAATTCATGAGTCAACATTTCAACAACTGAAAGGAACGATTAGCGATGTCAACGGAGCTGATCACCTCCACACTGCAGGATCCGTTTGTCATTCATTCTGATGCATCCCAAATCGGAATAGGTGCATGTTTATCACAGCAAAGGGGCAAATGGGAGAGAAAGCAATTTCCCATCTGCTACGCGAGCAAGAAATTATCGAAACCTCAATCAAGAGCTGGCCGACCATAGAGCATGATGCTTATGCTATAGTATGGGCATTGAAAGAAGTTTGAACCTTGGATATTCAGTTTATCGGTGAAAATTGTGACTGATCCTAATCCTCTAGCCTTTATAGTGAGAAATGCTCCTGCAATTCGTCCAAATTACAAAACGATGGGTCATAGCTTTGCAGAAATATAATCTCGAAATAGAACATTGCCCTGAAAAAAAGCTGTCAAACGCGGATGGCATTATCCAGACTTCCCACCTGTGAACTTTAAACATTAATTTACTGTTCATCTTCACGAACATTTTGTATAGTTAATAATAGATAGTTTTTCTTGCTTTTCATAATCATTTTAACATTTTGTGCAAATAAAGATGTTTATGTAATTTGAAATAGATAGAGAAAATTATTTGGATAACAAATATTCGAGGTAAGTGGTAAATTTAGATATTTGTCTCCCAAGGATTTAAATCATGCTGCAGCATCATTAAGTAAAAAGAATGTTAAATAGAATATATATTATATATATAGTATATATAAGAAACTTAATAATTTTACTGTCATCATTGGAATAATACTAGGTATTTTAAACCATGTTTGTAAAAGAAAATATCAACTTGGTTTCTTTGAATTAAAATTGATAAACTGTTACAATAATAATAAGGTTCGGAACAAGTGAAGTTAAAAATGATTTATCTATGTTTATATATAAAAATGTGTTATTTATGTTTATATATGTTTATGCAGTAAATTGAAGTACAATTGTAGGTATTATATTGCAAATGTCTATAGTAATTGATATTTGAAAATTAGGATAGAATGTATAAAAGTATATGTAGTTTTTTTTCTCTTTTTCACGTTGATCGCAAACAGTTGCTAGATTTTAGTTTCCAGATTGCTGATTGATTTGTAAATAATATCAACAACAATCTTACGACGGGGGTGTGATATCTGGCGACTGTTTGGCGATCAACAGAATGTGCTTGGCGCAGGTAGCCCTTCTCCGAAAAGGGTTAATGTATTTATTAAGAGTTGCATGTTAGCCTCGGAGGAGGAAGGTAGTAGATTGTACTATGCGGTAGGAGCGACGTACTGCTCTGAGTAACTATTATATTATGCTTTGAATTATATATTTAATAAATGTTTGTTTCGTCTTGCTAAATGGTGCCTTATTAAACCACGAAGTCATCACACTATATTCACAAAATTTTACTTGTGTACTCCTCTAGGCCTAATTAGACTGCCTTACCTTTTTTTTAATCAAAACTCCAACTTTAAACCGGAAAGCCTTAAAGTTACTTTCCTATATCTTCTTAATTTCAAGCTTACAAATTCCTGCCAGAATATATGTTTTAGAATTGCGTTTGAATGCAAATGAACCAAAGCTTAGTTAAACGAATCAGCAGCCGAATTTTAACGAAATGGCTACGAATCTATTTTCGATTGTAATTGCAATTTCCTTTTATCTCACATCCACAAAAGATGGAGTTTTCAATTTCTTTTACCTCACAACGTGCGCCTTCTGCTATGTTCAGGTTTTAATTAAAAGACTTAGTGAGACCTTCACAGGACTTTGTCGAACTTTTGCAAAAGAAACGATAATTGACTTCTCAGCCTACTAGAACTTGAAGAATTTATAAGTAGTTTTACATGAGTCAAGACTCTGTATGTTGAATTCAAGAAACTTATAAAGCATCTTGATCATGTTAAAATTATATCTTCTCCATCAAACTTTCAAAAAGTAAAATTTATCTAATAAACGGTACAGCATTGCATCGTTATCCGCTGAGGTAGGACGAATCCGAATTTTTTTAATGCTGTACATAAGAATAATAATAACAAGTAATATAAAAAATTTTTAAATTCCTACTTAGGTCAACAAAAAAATTATAAAAATACCAAAACAAAAGTTCTAAATTAAAAATTTAAAAAAATTTTTATATGTGAAAAAGCAGTATTAACATCAAGCGTAATCCACAACAAGTTTAAAAAACGGTTTTTGAGCTTGAGTGGATGAATAAAAAGTATTTTATTAACGACTGAAAATTTGAACAAGATATAGGGATAGTGTGAGTTAATAGTAGGAATTTAAAAAGAAACCTTTGTTTGATATTAAAAGTTTTGAATTAAAACAGAGCTTAAATCCACGTTTAAAGGAAATCAAATTTAAAAATACAATTTTTAATGCAGTTGTATTTTTAAAAGACTCTGTCTGGAATTTAATCAATAGATTTAAAAATTAAAATTGAATGTTGAGATTTATTTTCTCAGTTTAACTGAAAAAAAAATACATTTTAGTAGCTGATAAGACGTTTTATAAACCTCTAAATTCTTTTATAATCAAATCATCTACAAAGGACACAAGTTTTTAAGAGTTAACACTAAACACGTACCACTAAATGCTCTTTAGAAAGTTAAGAAAATTGTTTGAAGAATTCATAAAAGCATATTTGTAGTGTAACGTTTAGGACCGATTACAGCCGATATTGATAATTCAATTACCTATAAAACTGCAAAAATCGTGTTCGTTTTCAATGATTTTTCTATTGGATTTCTTTAAAAACATTCGTCCTAAAGACTTGAGTTCAACTGATTCAAAATATTTAAATGATGAAAAACACATGAAAATTCGAGTTTTCGAACCGTGTTTTCCAAGATTCATGGGATTAGAAGTTTCAAGTGTCTTATACTTAGTCACTTGTTAACGCGAAAATCAAATTTCTTATGAACATAAATTTTCAAAGTGTTGCAGTTAAACAGGTGTTTTTTGTGTATCCTTATTCTAGGAGACAGAGATCCCCAACTGCTACATGAGCGGCCTGGAGCTGCGCCGGGTGGAGGTGGATGATTCAGGGGAGATCTTGCTCATCGTGAAGAACGCCAACGGCATCAGCGATGCTCATTTTCTCCTCAACGTTACACAGGCGTCCTCGTTTTCTTTCTCCTCCTCAGCAGGTCAACCACTTCTTTTAATCTCCATCCTCTTTCTTTCTTGTTGCCTTAAATTACACTTTCATTTGCTTCCCTTTCCAGAGCTTAACTCTTGTAAACATTTTTCTTCGTTTTAAAATAAAAGAAAAACACAGATTGAAGAAAATAGAGTAGCTAGAACAAGATAATCCAACAATTTGTAATATGTCATGTTATTTTTATGTAAGACTAAGTGTTCTGTGTTACTCGAGACAAACTCTTAAGATTTAATACTTGTAATTTTATAAGAAACATGAATTTCTTAACGTGAGTTTGTGTTTGTGAGGTGCTGCTTAGCTTATCAAGTGCTATTTCTATCGTTGCATTCATGTTATAATTTAAGCAAATTTCTCAGTTTTTTGTTTTATAGCTTCATTTTTCAGTTCTAGATCTTTCACTATGAAAAATTTAAAATCAATGACAGAAATCCCACTTTAACGTTTTCTTCCAGAAAGGATCCTAGTGTGATTTAGCATTTTTAACTTGTAACATATCTCCTAAGTGGAAAAATGCATATTAATGTACACGTGCTTTCTGTAAAATTATTTGCTTAAATTTAATAATTATATTAACCATTAAGAAAAAAATAAAATATTTGTGTTGTAAAAGAAGTTCGTTTGCTTTTTGAAGATTAGGTGGAAAAAAATTTTTTTTTAATCTAGGTTCAGAAACGTTTACGTTAAAGGCGTTTTTAACGTTTGTGTGGTTAACCTTTATTTATTAAATATCATGTTCTTTGCACTTAAACCATAAAATCCAGTTCAATAGCAATGTCGCAAAATAATTTTAAAATGAGCCTATCTTTAGAATTTCCGATAAACAGTTCCGCGCGCTGAAGATTGAACGGTTTTGTTTTGCCCCGTAGAGTGTTGCCATTTGAAATCCTTGTGTTTGTTAATGAAAAATTAGTTAAAGTTTTACAAAATAGGAAATCGATCATAAAACAAATTCCAAATTTCAAATTTGATCTTCCACATACCCATATTCGCAGTAGGTCATTCAAAATTCGGTGGCTCTATGTACCGTTAATTTATCCCAATGCGAGAAATATACATACATTTATGCAGATTTTTCATTATTTAATTTTTTCAAATATAATGCAGGACTCTAACATTGGGTGGCAACAGTTTAAAAAGTAAAACGGACATTTATAGTGAACCAATGCAAAATCTCAAAACGAAAACAATAGTCCTTCAGGGACAAAGCCCCATCGGACTAGCAACTGCTTTAGTACATAAAAACTGATTTTTCTCAACAAAGTCACTCATATTTGCTAGGAAACCTTAATTCAAATTGCTATTTGCATAGTCATTAAACATAATTATAAATTAATTATTCTGATTAATTCTTAGTATTACTGCTAATTTTTATTCTAAATTAACTGTAAATAAAACTGTAATTGTTAGCTGTAAAATATTATAATTTTCAGGTTAATAATTATTGTAAATTTTAGGCTATTAATTGTTGTTAGTTATGTGGTCAGAAGAAGCTGTGTTTCGTACTATCTGCTTGCAGTCAGTCATGAATAAAGCATTCTACTGTTGTGTTTAACTATGGCCATGAAAGTTTCAGATGTCGTAAAAACATATTACCCTAGAATTTTACAACTTAATCTCCGAACAGATTTTACCTTGCATAAATCAGGTTTACATAATTTATATCTGACTTTCACATAGATTTTAACTAAACTGAATAAGTGCTAATTTTCGAGATTCATGCATTTGCCATTTATTCTTGCCTATTTATAATTTTAAAAGCACATAACTGAAAATGAAATTTCTATCGTGTTGAAAAGACTGTATAATGTATAACTGATTCAGAAAATACCTACCGTGGTTACTCAAACGTAAGACCCTCTTGAAAGTAAAAACTACAATAAATTTTAAGAAATAAAAATGTAGGTGAATATTTGATAAGAACACGATTCTGATTAGAATCATTTGTTTCTGATTAAATTCAAAAGCAAGTGTACGTAATTAAACAACTACTATAGCATAACTATTATAGCATAATAAAAATTAGTGGTACATTGTTTACTTATTTGTTTTTAGACATAATAACTAGTATAGGGGCTACAGACCTAAATTTAAATCGCTAAACTAGAGACGACAATTATGATTAGCGGTAATTAATGTATTTTAATTATGCGCGTTTATTTAGAATTTAATCAATGCAATTATTTTATGCAATATAAATTAAACACCTTCTTTTTATTGAGGAATTTTGTTTATTAAACTATTCGATTTTAATACCGTACTACATTTTAGACCAAAAATATAACCAAAAGAAGAATAGCTTACTTTCGAGTAATTACGGTATTGAAAATGTGAGAAGAAACACAGACCAAAAATTTTTTCTAGACTAAAAATACAGCCAAAAGAAAAATGTCTCACTTTTGAGTAACTACGGTATTTAAAATGGGACAAAATCATATTGAATTTGTAAAATATTAAAGAAACACTTTTAGTGTCTTTATTTTTCTTGATATTAGTAAACTAAAATTTTTTCTTCTTAATTACCAGTTAGAAAATCTTAAATTATGTACTGTAAGATAATTTATAGGTTTTATCATAGTTTTCGGTTAAGCAAAATTAAATTTCCTTAAAACATTTTAAAGAAAAATTATATTGATCATTAATTAAATTTTAAACCCTAAAAGCATTTTAGGATCTTTATTTCCTAAACTATTTTGTAATGTAATTTGCATTAACGTAATTAATGTAATTGCTATTAAATTACACATAAGCTCTTTTTTAATGGAATGCTCATGGAAATTTTCAAATGTTTGCTCAAGTTACAAACGCAAAAAAAGTAGCCTCTTATTTTAAAAATAATGAAATATTAATTTGTAGAATTTAGTTTTGGAAGCTATCATGCATAACGTATGAATCATTCTGGAATCATTATAACTCTCGAACCGTGCACATGAGGAGATAGGGATTTATTAGGAATCCCTTATCGCATCCTTAAACTGAAATAGTTTAGTTGACATCACGCTCGGAAGAATCTAAATTTCTTTATTCCAAGACGGAAATCATCCGGATGTAATCCACTTTTAGCGTTATCAAATCAGAGGACAAAATCTTTATTTTGGTATGTTGCATTTACTATTCCTAATCAGGAGATAAATATTTTGTATATGATGTATACAACATTTTCAGTCAACTGTAACCCTTAAAGTGTAATAAGGGTTAATGTGTAATAGCACTTCTATAAAATTATGTTAGTTATTTTTAAGTCTAAAAATTAGCTTCTCTAGATTCAGGAACGTAAAAAAAACATGCCTATTTATTTAAAATGTTCCCGTATTTATTTTAGAAATAAATGTTACACAGTTTTGCTCAAATAACAATCAAACCTTGTTTTTATGTAGAGTGCCCATAAATTATCACTGCTAATTAAATATTTGGCTAAAAATTCCTTTTTGAGATATTTTAATGCAGTTTGCTTCATTAACTAAAAACACTGTGCGTTTTGATTTAATTATTATTATTCCCATAAAATTAAATTAAATCAAAGAAACTGAGCATTTCGCTGAAAATGGCAAAGGATGTGTTTTTGTTTTTAAAGAAGCATCGGGCACTCACGTCTAGCAACACTTCAGACCTAAATAAGGAACTGAGCCAACAGCTCTACGATTCGAACATGGTATGGAATGTTTGTGGAATCTTAGATATCAAAGAGGTGAGCATGTACAGTTATCTCAAAGCAAGTATGACATGAAAATGAGTCGCGGCTTGATTCCTACATGTAACTACAATCGAATGTCTGTTAATAGATCCTCCTGTTTACAGGACGCAGTCTTATTAATTAACAAGTCTTTAATCCTCAGACCTTTAAACATGTACTCTCATTTAACGGACACTCTCAGGTAACAGACAAATCCTTAGGCTCTTAAATGCCCGCTTAACGTTTGACTGCAACAATCATACAGGCTTGCATTAAACCTTCATGTGTATTTCTTTTAACATAGGTGTGTGTGTGTGATTATGGCAAAGCCTCGAGGGCTATTTGCCTAAGGGGAGGGATGCCTTCGTGGAGGACTTTCTAAGGGAAACTGGCTCATATACACGTTACACATGGGGAAAACCACGAAAACGCCCGTGCATCCAGCCCGTTCGCGGCATTCGAACCTCGGACCAAACTACCAGTGTTCAGCGACTTTACCGCTCGACCGCTGGTGGGCTCTTTTATCATAGGATAGACGACATAAAATTATTTTAGAAAATTAATTTTTAGCGAAACTTTTAAGTTATAATCATGATTCATGAACACGTTGTATGTCTCTGAAAAACTGTCATTGTGTTGATATCATTTAGTCTCCACAGTACTGATCATTAATTTCATTTACGAAGTAATTGTATTTATTTAGAAAACTAAACAATTGTTGCGTATTTCATAAAATATTATGAGACTTTAATTTCTTGAACTAGTGCATTTAGTGTGATAATTTTATTTTGATTAGTAACACATTAGTAAAGGGTTTTTAATCAATAGCGAAACATGTTACAGAAATCATGTGAATAGTTATTTTAAAATCAATATGCGAAAAAGAAGTTTTGCTGTTTCAATTTGGTTTTTGTAGCTCTTCCTTTTTTCTCTCGAAGAACTCTTCATCTGAAACAATTCTCAGAGACCTTGATTCTCATGAAAAATTCATTATTATATTTTAATTATTATTTACATGTTTATAATACGTAAATTATTATTACTATATTTAATAAATGTAAATAAAGAAATATTTCTGCTAGTTTCGTTGCACTCATATGAAGCCTAAGTTTAATTTTTTCAGCCCGTTTGGACGTTTCAGCCCATTTTCGCCATTCTTGTCGTTAAACTTTGGATATTTGTATTTGAGTCTACCAATATGAAGTCGAGCAATATTCCCTTCTGAAACAATGAACTCACCTTCAGTTGAGAACGCATTTATTCTTCTGTTATTATGTAAGATAAATATATTCTAACTACGAAGTCTTTTATTAGTCCAAAGGGGCAATTTGCCCTGAAGGACTATTATTTTTCCTTTTGGCATTTTGCATTGGTTCCCTATAAACGACCGATTCACTTTTCAGATTGTTGACACCAATATTATCGCCCTGTAATATATTTAAAGAAATTAAATAATGAAGAATCTGCATAAATGTATGTATGTTTCTCCCATTGTGATAAAACAACGGTACCTAGAGCGACAACGGTAACCATCCAGTTTTGAATAACGTACGTTCCACCCCAATATGGGCATCTGAAAGCCCAAATTCGGAATTTGGAATTTGTTTTCTTATCGATTTCATAATTATTAAAACTTTAACCAATTTTTTTATTAACAAAATCAGCGAGTAATGGCAACACTCTACCGGGGGGGGGAGACTTTTTACCTCCAACGCGCGGTACAGTGTATCGGAAGTTCTAAAGATAGGCTCATTTTAAAATTATTTTGCGACATTGCTGTTGAACTGAATTTTATGGATAAAGTGCGAAGAACAGGATATTTAATAAATATCGGTAGCACACAAAGCGTTGGGCGTAATTTAAAATCTGAAACATTTCAGAATTTGTTTATTTTAAATAATACATTTTCCCAAACACTTTTTTGATATTTTTTCCCAAAGGCTATAAATTGTCAACTCCATCACTTAAGCTGAAAAAAACATTTAGTTTTTAATTCTTTTTAATTTCTTTCTTTTTTATGTTATCCGAAATGCAAGTCTTGAAGTAACAATCCTGCAATCCAGTAAATAATAATCTTATATTGCAAAAACAGATAGGCCTAAAAACAGAAGCCATACTTAAAGGCCATTCAGGTTAATTCTATAATTTAGTAAGGCTGGCGGAGGTGGCTGTATAATTAAGTCCATTTATGTTGTAGAGTTCCTCTTGTTGTGCTAAATTAAATATCGAGGAACCTACTGAACTGTTAAGCGAATTATCTCTTAGTTTAAAATAACAGGAATTTTAACCTCAAGAAGGGTTAATTACGCTTTATTCACTCAAAATAAGATGAACAATCGACCCCTTTCTTCGGGCTTACAACAAAGCCTCCTCCACTTAAATAACTTAAAAGTAAGAAATAAGAATTAACTATATCTAATTAAGAGATTTAGATGCTTAAGAACTATTTTAAGTTATAAAAAACATAAAGCTTCAAAAGAAAATTCATAAAATGATTTAAAGAATGAAGCATATAGTTGTTAAAAAATGGAAGAATAGCGTAGTTAATTTTGCAGCATGTATATAATCCTGAGCCAATTTTTTTTACGCATTAGTATCAATTCAAAAAAAAAGTGGTATTTCAAAAATGCATCAGTCTTCTGCTTTCGAACGTTTGCATCGAAAGCTTTCATTTTATAATCAAATAAATCTCAAAGAATAAATTTCGAATAGAAAAACTGTGTACCATTTTAAGATCGATTATCAGACTTCATAGATTTGGCTTTTGGCAGTGAAAGAACAAATGCATTTCCGCTGAGAGCAAGAATGAATATTTTTTCCCAAAATAGATGTGATTGATTCGATATTGAATATTCAATAATGAGATTTTAATGTGCACTTAACCTTTCAGGCTGCTTCAGGTGGACTCTGGTGGCCTTTCTGTCTCCTGTGTGCCTTTTGTGGCTACTGCAGAACCTATTCTTCTACGACAGCTGACCTCGGATATATTCATCTATAGCTTCCTAGTCAGTATATATAATAAAATGTTTCATATATATACATTGCACTTTGATGACATGTGTTATAAATTGATAGTTTGCGCCGTTAGGGGGCGCTCCGAACATCTTGTCCGAGTTGATGTTCTGTAACTTGTTTTTAGTTTGATGGAAGAACGAAGGTGTTAAGCCTAATAACGATGAAGGCGTATGCCTAATAATAATGCTTGTAACCATTGTATTATATTGTAAATAAAATATGTGTATTAATAAAAAGAAGGAATGATCACTTACCTCTAGAACTAATGCTCTCTGATAGTAACCGAATTAGTTACTGCAACATATTAACTGTTTCCAGCTTGCTTTTTATTATGTAATTTCAAAATTTTTAAGAAATAAAATTGAGTTTCTACTATATGATACTAAATGATACAAATCAATGCAACCGAATTATTCAAAATTTCGAATACTATGGAAATAGGTAATATTTTAAAGTACAATTGCTGAACAAAAAACTATATTTTATATCAACTCGACACAATACAAAGCATGCATATTTACTGCACCTTGAAACTGGCTCATAATTTTATCTTTTATACCTACAAAAGTAAAATTATGCCATTGAAAAAAAGATAGATCTATTAGAATATACAGTGCGCTGTATAAAAATTGTACAAGAGAAAGAAATAATATTGTGATGGCTATCGTAAAACTCAGAGTGATGTTATAAAAAAGTATTAATTATGAAACAAAAATGTTATAAAAATAATATGTGATATGAATCAGGTGTTTTCCTGGAATGTTGAATAAAACTTATTAACAATATTTGGACGATAAGATAAAAATACGCTGTAAATGGAAATAGTTAAAATTGTAAATTAATAAATATAACTATTTCTAGTCATTTAAATTGTAAAGGCACATATATATTTATATGTATGTGAATATTACCATATAATAAAGTAATATATATTACAATATACATTACTATATTATGTGAATGGTAAGTTGATAGAGAAAATATTCATAAACTTTTGGGTATTAAAACTTTTCATATGAAATAAACAATCACAGGTATTAAACCAGTTTTTCTGTATTTTAATTAACTTTCTGTATTCTAACTATTTACAATATGTGCACAGCTGGAACAAATATTCTTAAGTTTTGCTAGTAACCGAGTCAAGCTGTTGCCTATCTTCTTGGTTCTCGTCACAGTATTTGCTCAGATCGGAACGTTAGGAGATTTAATGGCATGCTGCATAGTTTAAAAAGTAGGAGATCAATCTTAATCGCGAGACTGCACTAGTTTTCGCTATGTTACTCATTGTTTGAATATCATTTCATGCTATGGCCGTAAACAGTTACATTGAATTGCTGTCCTGTGGTTCGAAATTCGTGCTATTGTAACTGATCAACCGTTAATTTCAAATTGCAATCTTCCTGTAAAGAACCCTGAACCTTAGAGACCGGGTTAATTAGACTCATCTGTTAATTGGATGTAATGATAAATCATTCGTTTTAGTTTGTGTTAGCATTACAGATTGTAAACCCCCAGAAATGGATACATAAATATTTATTTGTTTTTAAACTGGTTTGAGTTTGTGTTGACAGAGAAATATTTGTAAAGACAATAACTCAGCAATAAGTTAAGATAATAACAGTTAGGTTGAATACTGAGTTTAAGTTTAATTTTACTTATTAGGATTTAGATAATGAGCACGGTGAATTTGCATAAGCAGGGCGTGGAAGTAGCTTAAATCTGAAATATGTAATATGTACACTCTGTGGAAGAAACCAAGGTTTGAACAAGAAAAGGTTATAAATACTAAGGTTTTGAACAGGAAAATATCAAATTAAACTTTTCCTCAAAAAGGTGCAAGTACTACATTTTATTACAAATTATTGGTGGTATAATCATTATTTGGGAATATATAAGAGTTTCATGCCCATTATTGTTATCATATAACTCTTGCATTTCTCATACCAAAAATGCAAATGTGAAAAGGTAGGCTTTTCTAGTAATTTCATATAAAAGATTATTTTAAAAGGCCGCTTCTTAGAAATGATAAGTTCAAAATGTATTAAAAGTGAAGAAAAATATGACAAAAGAAAAAATAGTTCGGAAGAATTTTCTTATTAAAAAGAGTTTACGAAGATTTTAAAATTAAGAACAAAATTTTTATATTAATTTATAAAATATCAGAATTGGATAAAATAGTATTCTGTGTAAATTATTCTGACTCACGGCGAGCAATATCAAAAATTAAAATATCAGATATGATCGGAATTGATCTAAAAAGAAAACAAAGAAAGCTGTGAAATAATATCATGTAGCAGCATGTGCTCGGCAAATCTGAAAAAAAAATAATTCAAAAGAAATATTTAAGTCAAAATAATTATGTAAAAACATGATATAGAATGGTATATAGCAAGAAGAACAGAATTTATAATATAATAGAATGGTATATAGAACGAAATTAAATGCTGATTTTATATTTAATTATCAAATCTTGCATTGCAAATATAATTCTATAATTCTAATGTTTGATTTGGTACAGAATAGAATATAGTATCGTAATTTACAGTGCAACAAACGGAAAAAGTATCAAAATCTACTGAACTGTGCAAAAGCCTCAATTATCTTTTTAACTTTTATCATTTGAATTGTTGCGATATGCTTAATAGTTTTTCAGCTATACCTTTTTAAATACTGTTATTCTTTCTCAGTGAATTCACAACCGTGCTTGGATTTCTGACTGTTCATTTTAATTGAATGCACATCATAATACGTGACATTTAATTGAAAAGAAAACAAAAGAAAAACAGTTTTACTCATTTTATTTTCCTCTTCTCCCCTCGCTTAAATCGAAATATATTTTGGGAATTTTTGCTATGACGAATCCAATGATAATGACTGGGAACCTATGAGAAGAAAAAAAAATGATATGCCACTCATAAGTTTTTAAAACTGTTGCGATGGAAACAGTAACGCTCGTTGCGACACCGTCTAAAAATATGAATTTATCGAAGCGAGTGTGTGTCTTATAGATAACAAATTTCTATGCCCTGTTGACAGGAAATCGAATGCAAACCGGAATAAAAGAGTAAAAAAACTGTCCCACTATTTGAGGATGCTGATAAGAAAAATGATTTTTTACTTTCCATTCTTGAAGCGAGATTTAATACTTTTTATGGAGTACATCATTTAACCGCACATCATATACGAAGAAGAGGATGAAGAGAAGTCCTTTCATTCATTTATAGAAAAAAGCTATCACAAAAGTGAAAAACGTGTCATGTTTTTTCATAAATCTGGTAGAATATTCTGCATCTGGTTAAACGATTAGCTGGTTTCTAGATTTCGAAGGAAACCACCAATAGGAAAGTTTACTAAACAAGAAATATCGAATATTAACGTTGTAGAGACATTAGGTAGTTTGAAGTAGGAGTCATGAAAAATGAGCAATGCCCTCGCTGGGACTCGAACCTCCCGAATACGCGCCGAGTGTGCTGACCACTACACCACGAAGGCATGCTAAGAAGGCGGGAGAAAGATCTTATACCGTGATTCCAAACAATTTTAGTTAAGCTGAACTGTAGCTATTTGGGCACTACCAATGAGCAGCCGTAAAATAAAAGCCCTGTCAGCAATTCAAAGACCTTTTGCTCTCAACATTAGCAAGGCATATAGAACAACCGCGACAAATGCAGCACTTGTGCTTACCGGGCTCACACCCCTTCACATCAGGGCCAAGTTAGAAGCAATATATGAGCGGGTAATAAGATTAAAGGAGAATGCTGCACTCGACACCACAGTCTTCAGCACGCTGCAGTACGAAACACCAGGCAGCCACACAGCACGTGCACCCAGCACATAAAAACTCGGGCATACACGTCAAAATAGCAAAATAGCAAGAGATCTACGCCGCGAATAGAGGATGTACCAGTCGCCTCGCAATTCTACACAGATGGCTCCAAACATAATAACGGAGTGGGTTGTGCTTATGCTTATTATGAGCATGGTACACTTCACAGTCAATGAAAAGGTCATCTTGCAGCTCACAATAGTATCTTCCAGGCGGAGGCCATAGCAATTGAAGCGGCAATACAGTACGCACATGACATACAACTTGCACGAACAGAAATCTGCACAGACAGCATGTCAGTGCTGCAGGCATTAAAGAATCATCATCACACATCTCCCATAATCCTGCAAATCCAACAGACATTGCATAGCAACCAGCAATCTAACATCAAGCTAAAATGGGTAAGAGGCCACTCTGGGATCGCAGGCAATGAGATGGCAGATCAACTGGCCAAAGAGGCAGCAATCAACAATAATGCACAGGCTGTCTCAGCACTAATCCCGCCGTCATTTTTAAAAAGACAACTAAGAGACATAGGGAATAAACAATGGCAACACGAATGGGAGAATGGAGATACCGGCAGGTGACAGGTGACAGGTGACGGAGGACGAGGGCGCCTGATGTTTAACATAGGTAAACAGGCATATGCCCCGCGTCCTCCACTATCTAGTGGCAACAACTCCCTGGAGCCTCATCAGGCTGCCTCGGGAGTATATTTGAATCTTAATGAGAAAGTTACATGGCCATACAAGGGCGGTTGACATAGTCTACATTACAAGTGATGTGTATGACATTTGAAAGTTTTAGGATTACAGTGGTTGTTACAGGAAATCTAAAAAAAAAAAAAAGGGGGGGGGTGGAGGTGGCATAAAAATGTAATATAACAACATTGAATAACCTGAAACACATAACTTATAACATTTAGACACAGTTACACATACAAACTCTTAAATACACAGAACATACTCACAGACTGCTAAGTAGAGTACTAATAATGCATTCATGTGATGCTGTTAGAACATATAATGCTGGGCAGATGTAATACTATGTGACATATAAAAACGTGTAATAAAACTGGTAAGATCACAGGATGCAGAGCAGAGATAAAGCTGCGATACTAGTGAAAACACATGGTGCATGCCAGATATAAAGCACGCGTGTAAC